CAGTTTATTGTATTAAGTGTTAAACTTTGCTCTTATAGATAATATACACTATGATTTTTATGATTTGGAACTGTATTGAAATTCGTTCAATATGAACTATTGTAGTACACTTACGAGATGATTCATAATCAATGAATGGGAGATTGTAATTGGATGTGTTTTGGATAGGCTATGACCTGGCTAAGAATTGAAGTTAGCTGGAGCTAGGGATTATAAGTCCTTTGTGGTGCCTTTTGAGCATATGGCTTCTTATACCATAAAAGAATGTTGTAGAGAGAAAGTTGTCTAAGAAAGAGGCCACACTCATTGGGATAGGATGAAATTGTTAAGTCCTGATTTTATCTACATGCTAATTCGATCAAGGAGGTATGATCGAGAAATAACACATTCACTTAGTCACCAAGAAAAGGCTGGGGGAGAGTCTTCTCTTTAAATCAGTTCTTAGAAATTCAATCGTAAATTTTGATCTTCTGCCCAATTCGCATTGCTTATCAAGGAGCTTAGTCTCCTTCCTCTGTAAGAATAGAATTTTATTGGGAACCTCAGGAATAAGAGCAATGGCAGTAGCATTAATCTCCTTGAGCAAGCACCCCGAGGAGAAGAAAGATTAGTCATTCCAACTGCATGATTAATATAAGTTACAACTGCATTATTAGCCATCCTCGAAATTATATAATAGGCTTGGGGGAGAGAGTATCTACCAAGGACCTCAGCTCGAATGGCCCTCAAAATCCTTAAATTACATTTTTTTTATGGATAGCTTATATTTGCACTCTCTGCTTAATTGTTAATTTCGTTCTCCTTAGCTTTCTGACCATGTTAATTGTTTGTTTGCCTTGTAATTATGACAAATTTGGTCTTGTATTGTTTACAGACAACTATTTATAGACTCTTTATTCCTAGAATCTCAAGGGATCATAGACTACAGCCTTCTATTGGGGGTGCATTTCAGAGCTCCTGAACATCTAAAATCTCTGTTAGAGTCTCCTGATTCACCGCATACAGCTGAGAGTTCGGCTACCGGTATTGATGGTGGGCATCTCTTCTTAACATGAAAAATTTGGTATCTTGAGCGTTGATTTTGGGTTATCTAATTATTATAATTCATTCTTAAGGCATTAGTAATATGCTGTCTTATTGTATAACTTGGCCATTGGCTTTTCTATTAATCGAATATTATTCTCAATCCTCACAGGTAATGTGTTTAGCCTACCACATCTCTTTCCTTTTCCCTTTCCAATCATTTTGATTAAGTTGTTTATTGTACATTTTGTTCTGCAAATACAAAGCTATATGAAATGTTTCTGATTCTGCATCTGTAGCTTGCAACTATTTCTTTAATTAATTATCTTAATTGGTTAAGTAAAAAAATTATTATTCAATTTAATTTATTCTTTAAATATTTCGTTAATTATGTATATTATTTATTTCATATTTAATTACTCTATTTCGATTATTTATTTGAATAAAAATAATAATATTTAATTCAATTTTTCATTTAACTATTTCTTTAATTAATTATCTTAATTGGTTAAGTAAAAAAATTATTATTCAATTTAATTTATTGTTTAAATATTTCGTTAATTATGTATATTATTTATTTCATATTTAATTACTCTATTTCGATTATTTATTTGAATAAAAATAATAATATTTAATTCGATTTTTCATTTAAGTATTTCTTTAATTAATTATATTAATTGTTTCCATAATTAATTATGGTCCCTAACGGACCCATCTTGTCCGTAACGGACCATTACGGGCTGGAGCTCGTCGGAAAACTCCATTTTCGACGAGCTCCATCTCATTTTTTCACTTTTTTCCACATTTCAATCTCAAATTCAATATTTTCTTCCATTTTAACCATAAAAAATTAAATTTAACTCATATTCAAATCCTAAACATTCAAACTTTCACATATTCAAAGTAATTATTTATAGAGAACACGTCTAACCTTCCAGAACATAGCGATCTCCGGCTGATCGAGATGCGTCCAGTTTTGGTCGAAGTGGGTCAGGTCCGAGTCGTCCGTAGGCGGCGTGGATCCAGACTACTTTTTTCTTTTTTTCTCTCTATTTTCCTCTTCTCTTCTTTCCAAATGAGGGTATTTTCGACCCTTTAGATTTTGTTTACATTTTCCTTTTTTTTTTTTTTACAAAAAATTTGGTCGGAGGTCCTTATGAAAAAGTAGCCGGGTGGCAGCCATTGGCCACCATTTCCTCACCAGCTACGTTGGACCCGTATAATTTCGTTGGACCCAAATTTTACCCGGATTTCAATGGGTCGACTCCAATTCTACAGAATTGGATCAGGCCCATGGACAGTAATCTGATTTTCATGGAGTCTGACCAGCCACACAATCACAGGCCCACAGTTTTGATTTGATTTGATTTGGGCAATTTCGACGATTATCTTATTTTTCTCTTTGTTTACAATTTTTTTTACCTATTCCTATTTAAGTTTTTTTGGAAAATACTATGTTACTCTTCACTAAATTTTAGTCACAAAATGGTAAAATATTTGTTACATGTCAAATTTTCATAGTTGTAGATTAGTGTATGTGTCACCGTACTACTTATTTTTTATATTTGTAAGATAATACATATGTTAACTTATTACTTTTTTATTTTAAGGTAACATGTTCTATTCATGGTAACGCATGTTTTACTATGTTACTCCAATTTTGAATCATAACATATTCCATTGGACTTTCTCAATTTTCAATATCGTAGATGTCTTTGCAATCGTCATCGTCTCCCGTCGCCACCAATGAGGGCAGATTTCTTCGATCACAATCCCACGCTTATTTTCCAGACATCATCATCATGCTCAAAAGCACAGTACTTTCAATTGTATCTCATTAATAATGAGTTATTCCTTTTTGCATTGCACTTTGTAAAAAACATGTCACGCGTTTTTCAAAAATATGAGTAAAATCAAACATGAACTTCGTCACTTGAGCTTAAAATTTTATGCTATCGACTACATTCATTGTATACGTATGTGTAGTGCTCAATTATTCCACAAAAAAGAGCCTGGAAAACTTGATCGTACTACAAAATGGCCTGACTTCAATAAGTTTAATTGGCACGGAACTATAACAAATCAAAATATAATCAAAATACACACTCCTTTGGTTACGAGTTTGATTCCCCCTACCAACACTTTCTCGGTCGAGCCTGTTGCACCAGGCTTACTTAGTACGATTTACCTGACTGTAGTGATTTGCAAGCTATTGCGTCAATCCGAGGGTTTAGCCAATGGGCACTCGAATAGTAGCGGTTGCGGGTTCCCCCGTCATCAAAAATAAAAAATAAAAATACACACTTATCGTATGAAAACTTTAATTAATTCCCAAATAGTTTTAAAATGTCGTGGCCAATCTTGCTAAAATTAACAAAGAATCCTAATCAAGATCCTATTTCACCATTATCAAGTTTTGGCAAAAGTATGACCTTTAATTTAAAGAAAAGAGAATATTTACACCATTTTTTCAAAGATTATTCTTTATCGACATGGCTTATTTATTCTTTATCGACATGGCTTATCAAGTAAAAGATATTTTGAATAATTAATGAAACTTTATCATAAAATTCTTTCAAGTGTCATATATACTTTGTATCATCCTTTATTCCTTCAATCAATTCATTAACCATTTTCCCATTTAGTCAGTTTTTTCGAAAACTTTATCCTGTGTTAAGTCAACTAGCACAGAATAAGAATATTGAATGATAATTATATCTAATATTTGACATTAAACGGCGAGCGAAATTAAACATTTTAAATGAATAGTGACAATAGAATTTCCAAAGTGCAATGGAATAGCAAATTGTCAATATTCGTAGGAATCTCAAATTCCTTTTCACGGGAATAACAAAAAGGAAGAATAAAAATTCATTAATTCACCAGTTTTACTTTTTAGGATTTACAATAAGTAACTAATGCCATGTTGTTCTAATTCTATATATTCCACGTGAACTTTGACAACAACATAAGGAAATACAAAAGATTCCACTTCCCCTAGCCCTGTGATTTCTCCCTCCCGTCGATCCTTGGAAGGTTTGCACAAAATGAACCTCTTATTTTTCGACGAGGACAATTAAGGACAATACTGCATGTATATAATTTTTTTTTATCTAATCATTTACCTACTACTCATAATAGGGAGTGGAGGTCAAATTTGAGAATTTCTATATTCATGCGGGGCTCACAAGCAATGTGAGAGAGATGACAACTTTCGGTATCCCCAATTCGATATAAATAGAATTATTCAACAATTAATAACAGAAAGATCGAGAAAAAAAATTAATAGGAGAATAGAAAGAAATGTATGATTTAAAAGAAACGATAAAGTTCACATCTTGCAAGTTGGATTAGTTAAAAATGGTCTTCATACTACAAAATTAGCTTTGGTCTTTGATCACCAATATATGTCAACAATTGACGTAGTGTCAAAGATGGTTGACCCATGATCGACGACAAATATGAAAACAAAATATTTTAGTTAATCTTTACGTACTAATCACTTGCTTGAATTATTTTTGTATCAAAATTAGAATATTTTTTCTTATGTCGCGTCATTTTTATCAGAAACTTATTTTTGTTGCATAGTGTTGCTTTTATCAAATATATAGAAATTGAAAAATGAAAATAATTGTTTCCCGAAGCGAAAGGAGGTCATGGAAAAAAAAAAAAAGAAAAGAAAAGAAAAAGCCAAAGCTGTAGTGAAGAATACACATTGTCCTCTTCTAATTTTTTATATTTCTTTTATGGGAAATACATTTTTCTTTTTCTATTTTAAACAAAATAAATACTCACCATATGCTTTACGTGAGACAGCAGCCAGAATCACCTACAACTCAGCGCACTTTACATTCTATACACCACCAAAGACAACGATTTAACGCAATTGGTCCCACGTGATCATAAACAAAAGTTTGCTGGCCCACAATTCGTACCCCGCCACGTGTCACCAGTCGCACTGCTAATATGCTATGAGCCTCCCGTCGTATCTCACCACGCATTTTCTCGTTACTGTCTAAAAAAGGGAATTTCAATCAAATTTCGTGAAGCAAAGGTTCAACGTTTACTGCAATATTTATCAGAGAGCCAAGAAAAAAAATGAAGAAAGAAGTATAAATCGAAATTTTGATGTAGAAATTTTCAGATTGTATTTGTCTTTGAACTATTTGCAGATAGTTATAGGGTTTTCCTTGCTGTCTATTCATTACCGGTGGAACAGTTTCGCAGGTGAGCGTTTCAATACTTGATTTTAGTTTTCGATTGTCGTAATTACGTTGAAATAGCTATTAATATGAAAAACTATGGTGTTAATCGCTGCTCAAATCTCAATCACTAGCGTTATAGTAACTGTTAAATTTTCTGACGACTCGAAAGTAAGACCGATTGATGAACTGGAATCTGATAAAATATAATTTCTGTTTAATACTGTAATGATTTGGTAATGTATACAGCATCTGTACTTGTATCTAAATCTTTATTCACGATATTGTTTTATTTAGAAAATAAAAACTTTCAACTTTTTCATTGAAAACAGTATGATTTGTATGAAACATAGCTGTCTTAGTGCAAGAAAACACGCAATACGACGTGGAAATATAATATATCAGTCTTCGGCTCAGGATCACTGTGTCTGATTGTATATTTGTAATATACTGTTTAATGAAGCGTGTTTGAAAATATAAATAAGATTGATTTCGTGAACTGGTCACTCTTTTAAAAATCACACTAGGTTGCTTTTTGTCTTTTAAGCTGCCTAGATTGTGGAAATTACCAATTCTCTGATTTATTTGGGTATTAAATGCATCAATATTCAAAGTAATTTGAAACTTTGGTCTGATCTAAATTTTGTATTACGTTGGTCACTTAATCAGCTTTACAAATTTAAATTTGATCTGCACGGAACTTATATATTCAGAATCTGTTTATTCAGCGAAGTAATCCATATCACCACACATAATCAATGAGATCGCGGAACTTCCAATTTTTTGCCCTATTCAGTTAAATTAAGTAATTAGTATTGCTATTGCAAAACATCAGGATATTTACTTTATAACATCATATCTTCTTTATTACTGTTGACAGTGCTATTGGGGAATCTTGAGTTAATTCCCAGGTGCAGCCAAAGGCACAGAATGAGCGCTTTAATCTTTCCTTCTTTAACTGGAACTCATTGGATTTTGTCCAGCTAGTTAGTTGATTTAAACTCTAATCTATTCATAGACTAATCAAACCTAAATCTTCATTCTAAAATGATAATGCAAGAGAGAAAAATTAAAAAATTAAAAGATAAATAAAGTGATAGCTGATTGATCTTTTGTTGCATAAACTTGGATTAAGACAGAATTTATGTTTAAGAGTTCACCACATGAAGAAAGTCCATTTTCCTGTTCTAATAGGTTTGAAAGTTTTGAATAGATCAGATTGTAGAAGTGGAAAAAGACATATCCTTGTAAGATACTACCGTTGATAGATTAACGTAACAAATGGTGCCTGAGAAGATTTTTCTTGTATGTTGTGCAGGTCTTTCGTTTATAATCATTGTTTTTCATGGAGATTGATGAAAGGTACCCAACTGCAAATCATTTTAGACTAAAGAGGTTCTAGTAATTAAACTCTAGATTTGTTGTTTCACTTGCACGTGGGATAATGGATAATTTCTTTGTAACTTTCATCTAATAGGAGTTGTGAGAAGATCTTCTCAAAGGGAGATGTATATATTGGTAATTTCAAGGGAATGCTTCCACACGGAAAGGGTAAATATGCTTGGTCAGATGGAACAGTTTATGATGGTGACTGGGAAGAAGGGAAAATGACAGGGAAAGGCAAGATATTTTGGCCGTCACAGGCTACATATGAGGGTGATTTCTCTGGAGGATACCTCCATGGTTTTGGAACTTTTACTGGTTCTGATGGGTCCATATACAGGGGTTCTTGGAATATGAATTCTCAGCATGGCATTGGAAGGAAGCAATATCAGAACTCAGACTTTTATGATGGTTGTTGGAGAGAAGGAGTACGTGAAGGCAGTGGTAAGTATGCATGGAGCGATGGCAACTTATATATTGGAAATTGGAAGAAAGGGAAAATGTCTGGTAGAGGGGTCATGAGATGGTCCGAGGGTGATCTTTTTGATGGCTTCTGGTTGAATGGGTTGAGACATGGATCAGGCTTCTATAGATTCGCTGATGGAAGCTATTATTTTGGGACATGGACCAAGGGGCTGAAGGATGGACGTGGAATATTCTATCCTGCTGGAAGTAAGCCTCTAGGTAAACATAATCTTGAAGGACAGGAACACAACAAGACAAAGATGCTATCCCATAGTTCGTCAATAAATTCAGAGGACTCAGTAGTACCTAGTGTGAAGCGTACTCTTTCTGATAAAATTTCGAACAGTTTTGTAAGAGGATCAGGACGTATGTCACATAAAACCATATCCCTGGATGCTAATTGGGGCTGTAATAATTCGACTACAAAGATTACATCATCCTTATCTTGCAGATTGCCAGATGATCAAAGTGAGTTGCAAGATAACAGGGCTGTGGCTTATGAGAGGGAATATATGCAAGGAGTCCTTATTAAAGAAAGAATTAGAAATATATCCAAACTATCCCATAAAAATAAACGTCTCAAGTTTGCAAAAGAGGTTCAAAGGGGCTCATGTGTGAACATTTTTGAAGGGCACAGGAGCTATTATCTAATGCTTAGCTTGCAGCTTGGTATCAGGTAGACAAAAGAGGTTCCCTTCCTTTTCTCTGATTTTCAATTCTCCGCCATGAAAAAATCAAATTTGATGTTATGGCGATGGAACATTTCTTAAAATATCTCATCTGAAGTTCACAGGTATACTGTAGGCAAGATCACACCTGTTCCTATGCGCGAAGTGAGATCATCTGATTTTGGAGATCAAGCCAGAATAAGAATGTATTTTCCGAGCAAAGGATCCCAGATGACTCCTTCACACTATTCAGTTGACTTCTTCTGGAAGGACTACTGCCCTATGGTCTTCAGGTAACTATCTTTTGGAGATTATTTCTGCAGTTATCTGTGACCTTATCAGTCGGATGACTATTCCAATTTTACACGTTGTGAAGGATTCTTGTTTATTTTTAATCAAATGGCACAAGAAGTAATGTATTCTTACCACAAGCGGTTGATGCTTATTTGACTCCATTATAAGCAATTTCTAATTTCTGGTGCATGTAGGTTTTGACAGTTAAGCGACCATTTATATATTGAAAAGCGTTTTTAGGCATTCCGACAGCAATCTGGTTTCTGTTTGATGTAGATGAGAAATGCATGTGACACGTGCTGATCATTGTTTCAAACCTATGTAGCGGCCGACATCTGTTCATTCATCCCTTAATTTTTGCTAAACTGGCTAAATTTTTTGGTTTAGGTTGAGATAACAGACATAAATTCATTAAATTTGAACTTGCAATTATCATTGGAGGTAATTCTAATTTACGAGGCATTTTCTTTCATCCCTTCATCTTTCAATTTCCTCTAATCATTTACAAAACAGTGGGCTATAGTTTTATGATGCTTATACTGCTTCTCCATCGTCAATTCTCCACCTACTACTCGATCACTCCCTGGCAAAATGTAACTGAGAAATAATCATGCTAATAAAAGGACATGGAGGAAGAATAGAATAAAACGTGGACTTGTTCTCATTTCTGACAGTCCTCTCTCTCTCTCTTTCTGATCCACGAAAAGAAACTTCCTCACTTTATTTGTTTATATTTTAACTATTCTTTGGAATTTATCTGAGTTGTATTTTATCAAAAGACCTGTATGATAACCTGTGGAATTCCTGTATAATTCTTTATATAGTGTTATTAAAGTATGTTTAGCAAGTTTATATTGCTAAAAGTCAAATTACTTTTTATGCACATATTTCGTAGGATCCACAGGTACTATCCGCTAAAACACCGGTGATTTCTATTCGTGTTTATGAACACTTGGTGAACATAGGGTTACAGGATTATTGTTTTTAATGACTGGCGTGTCCCTGTTGGATCTCTCATTCAGGAATTTGAGAGAGATGTTCAAGTTGAATGCTGCGGACTATATGATGTCCATCTGTGGTGATGATGGTCTGAGAGAGCTGTCTTCTCCAGGGAAAAGTGGAAGTCTTTTCTATCTTTCTCATGATGATAAATTTGTGATTAAGACATTGAAAAAGTCTGAACTGAAGGTTTGTACATTCGATGCATTTATTATGAATATCTTTATGATTATCATTTCTAGTAATTTATTCACATACTAAGGATCTAGTATTTTTCTCTAATAATGTATGAATTTATGTGACCGGCACATCTAAGATGAGATCCTTTTGAGTATGTTCATATTAATGACATCGTTCTAATTGATGAGATTAGATGAGGATAAATTGTTACATGGAATTAGTATGGAATAGACATAATGTCCTTTCAGTCATAATATGTATAATGCTGATATTGAAGTCAAACCCTGATTTTGTTGGGAATGGTATTTTGTTTTAATTATCAATAAGGAATGAGGACTCGAAGGTGGTGTAATGCATAATATTATGGTGAATTTAACAAAGTGGAGAAAAGCTACTTGGACTCGATGACACTTCCTGACACCTACCAACTCAGCAAAGATTTCCATGTTAAGGAGCTCAAAGGATTTCTAGTGGAAGGGTGGGCATGCCAATGGCTTAAGAATAGGGTGTTGCTAGAGTATTGAAATATGTGAAATGCATTCAGTCAGTCAACTACATTTAGTGAATTAAAGTGGAAATGTTGGATTTTATGTTCTGCCTTGTGTAATACCCTATCTATCTGTCATGTACGTGGCACAAGAGGGGGGATCCACTTTGGGATGACCTAGCAGTAATTGACGAACATGTCAACCACTCATAAGCCTACTCCTGCGCCCAGCTATAGCCTACAAGTCCCACAAACACACGCTCAGTGTACATGTCATTCCTTGGCTTCATAATCTACAGTTATTGGGCTGAATCTTCTTAAGCCTTATCGCCTATTGTATGATTGTTTCGGAAATTAGGCTGACCGAGCGGCCTTATTTCCTACGGAGATGTGACAGGCTTCACATGCGCGCAGGGTATGGTAACTGTGCCACTTCAGAGCCATGTTCACCCTCACCCGTCCCCAATCTCTCAACTTTGATAGAATATTAAGCCGAAGCATGATGCAAAGGTAGGGAATATATGAAAACTTAACCAAGCTCTGTCCATTTGCTTTCTATCAAACAATAAATACACTTTATCTTAAGCACGCAAGTGACGGGGAACTGCATTGCAGTTTTAACAGGGTTTCGGGATGAACAATTGGTGTGAAGACTGCAAGAGGATTTTCGATGGCAATACCTTGCCTTTTTTTTCCTGTCTATATAAAAATTTGTATTACATTGGCTTGCTATTTAGGATTTGAACTTTTCTTATTTATTGCAAATTGACTTGGACATGCTATTAGTTGCTATTCTATTGCTTGGCAAATTCCTGTGACATGATTTATTCTTAATGTTGTATAGGTTCTACTTAAGATGCTGCCGCATTACTATGAACACGTACGAGGGCATGAGAATACTCTTATTACTAAATTCTTTGGGGCGCACAGGATAGCACTAAAACGTGGAAAAAAGGTGGATCCTCGATCATAATTTCAAGTTTCCTTTCTGTCTAAAAATATTACTTTTTTATGGAATATATGCTGGTTTTAATTATCTCCGTTTAATGAAACTTTCATTTATTAGGGAAAACTATATGTAGGATGAGATCATGTGATTAAAATTGATTTACAGGTTCGCTTTGTAGTCATGGGAAATATGTTTTGCACAGAATTACGGATACATCAGCGTTATGATTTGAAGGGTTCATCTCAAGGGAGATTTACAAAAAAGGACAAGATTGATGAGAGCAGCACACTGAAAGATCTTGACTTGAAGTATGAGTTTCGTATGGACAGATTATTGCGCGAGTCACTTTTTAGGTATGTTCCTTTTCGTTGTTGACTTCCGCATTGTTAAATCAGTTGCAGTCACTATCATGAAAAAAATTGATTTCAAATTGTTTGGTTGCTCCATGCACTTGTACTAGCAAATCTGGTTTTATCAGGAGGTAGTCATACATTTATTAAATTATTCATATATACACTCATCCAAATAATTAGAATTCTGTAGCTTGGCTGAACATAAACTTTTAATACTGGATACCTAACAATCAAAAGAGCTGATTTGTTAGTTTATTATGATACAATGTACATATTTTTTTTATGTTCGGTTAATTTCAAACATAATTTGTTTCATATGGTTGTTTTCAGAAGAAACTCTCACGATTTGGAAATGTTGTGCTGCTGCTATTTATAGTGTTAATGGTGGATTATGCAAAATTAGTTGATTTCTATGGCTATTAGACATGCTTATGCGTATTTAACCATGTTTAATTAACCAAATAAGGCGGCACGAGATTTTATGGTTTCTCTGTGATATCTGGGTATCGAGTCATTGTAAATGTTGAAGTGCCCTCTCCCACATCCTACATTCTAACCTATCTCCCTGAACCAGAAATCAATCCTTAGGCATGGGGACAGAACAATGAAAAAGAAGAGGATATTATCCCGGTTATATTTTCAATTTTCGTCAATGAGCTTTGCCCTCTCTCTATGCAACTATTACCTAAGAGAATATTATTTTTTTCTTTCGTTTTCTTTTCTGTTTTCCGGAGGACTAAACTTACATTGGTAGGGTTTGGTGGGGTGATTACCTAGAACGTTAAAATCTAAATTTAATAGACTTCCAAATTTCAAGTTATTGCATGACAGAAACTGATGGAGATAGAGCTACAAGATATTTAGGATTTTGAAGTAGAGTTTGATTAAAGTATATTTATTTAGATTAGATTTAATATTTCTATAAGATTCTAGTTTAGTATAAGTTCGTTTGATTTTATATTCTTTCAGATGCTTTTGCTTTATAGATAAAAGGGCTTATTCATTGTAATATTCAAGCCTTGATTATATGAATAAATTGATATCTTCATTTGTCCTCGATTCTTCTCTTCTTTGCACCTCTTACTTTCCTTAATTTTCAATTCATTGTCAAATCTACGCTTCTGCGTCAGAAACCCAGTCAACTGTAGGTTACACTCATTTTGCTTGCTCTGACGGATATAGATATGATGAAATCTTAAAACTGTATGATGTTCTTTGACCTACAGAGTATGTGCTAATGACTCCTATTATGGACACTCATAGATGCACTGGAACTGTTACAGTCAACCGTGTCATTTTATTGAACTCCTTGAATGCCCAATTTATTAGTAAATCATGATCGCTTTTCAGGAGACACTTGCATAATTTGCCTGGCCAGCACAAAATAATCTGTATTATAAATTGGCTATATTGAGTGCCATATACTCAAAGAAATTCATAAGTTTAGAAGCCATCTTGAGAATTAAAGTTCAGTGTATTCAAAATTATTTTTTCCCAACATGAATAAAGAAATTCTTTTGAAATGGAGTTCGCTCTCTTAGGGCTATTATTACGTTGTATATTTGTAGCACTGATAACCCATATACATTTTCATATTTGTCTCTTATGCATTCAAGTGCACTTCCACTCTAAACGAAGTCATTCACTTGGTAAACAGTTCCATAGCGGTTATATTTTATATATTTTAGATATACAATCTCATATGGTTCAATGGATTCACTCTAGAATAAATCTTCAAATTCATTATTTGGGTAATTGGTCTCATCAATGTACTACAGTTTATTGTATTAAGTGTTAAACTTTGCTCTTATAGATAATATACACTATGATTTTTATGATTTGGAACTGTATTGAAATTCGTTCAATATGAACTATTGTAGTACACTTACGAGATGATTCATAATCAATGAATGGGAGATTGTAATTGGATGTGTTTTGGATAGGCTATGACCTGGCTAAGAATTGACGTTAGCTGGAGCTAGGGATTATAAGTCCTTTGTGGTGCCTTTTGAGCATATGGCTTCTTATACCATAAAAGAATGTTGGAGAGAGAAAGTTGTCTAAGAAAGAGGCCACACTCATTGGGATAGGATGAAATTGTTAAGTCCTGATTTTATCTACATGCTAATTCGATCAAGGAGGTATGATCGAGAAATAACACATTCACTTAGTCACCAAGAAAAGGCTGGGGGAGAGTCTTCTCTTTAAATCAGTTCTTAGAAATTCAATCGTAAATTTTGATCTTCTGCCCAATTCGCATTGCTTATCAAGGAGCTTAGTCTCCTTCCTCTGTAAGAATAGAATTTTATTGGGAACCTTAGGAATAAGAGCAATGGCAGTAGCATTAATCTCCTTGAGCAAGCACCCCGAGGAGAAGAAAGATTAGTCATTCCAACTGCATGATTAATATAAGTTACAACTGCATTATTAGCCATCCTCGAAATTATATAATAGGCTTGGGGGAGAGAGTATCTACCAAGGACCTCAGCTCGAATGGCCCTCAAAATCCTTAAATTACATTTTTTTTATGGATAGCTTATATTTGCACTCTCTGCTTAATTGTTAATTTCGTTCTCCTTAGCTTTCTGACCATGTTAATTGTTTGTTTGCCTTGTAATTATGACAAATTTGGTCTTGTATTGTTTACAGACAACTATTTATAGACTCTTTATTCCTAGAATCTCAAGGGATCATAGACTACAGCCTTCTATTGGGGGTGCATTTCAGAGCTCCTGAACATCTAAAATCTCTGTTAGAGTCTCCTGATTCACCGCATACAGCTGAGAGTTCGGCTACTGGTATTGATGGTGGGCATCTCTTCTTAACATGAAAAATTTGGTATCTTGAGCGTTGATTTTGGGTTATCTAATTATTATAATTCATTCTTAAGGCATTAGTAATATGCTGTCTTATTGTATAACTTGGCCATTGGCTTTTCTATTAATCGAATATTATTCTCAATCCTCACAGGTAATGTGTTTAGCCTACCACATCTCTTTCCTTTTCCCTTTCCAATCATTTTGATTAAGTTGTTTATTGTACATTTTGTTCTGCAAATACAAAGCTATATGAAATGTTTCTGATTCTGCATCTGTAGCTTGCATAATGAGATTTCTGTTTGTTTATTCACCTCCTCTATGCACCCCCCAACCCCCGGGATGTTTTTCCCTTCTTCTTTTTGAGCTTTTGTAAGTGTAAACCTGCTTGGAGAATATACATCTTCTATTCATAGAGGGAGTCTGGGATATATGCTCAGGGCGGGGTCAAATATGAATTTCTGGTCCTGGTCACCTGATTTAGTTTTGTTTGGGACAAACATGTGATTTATTTAATGAGGATATATCTGTGAGGTATTGTTTCCCTTGACACGGTGTGTTTAAGTTGAAATTGTCTTAGCACGTGTCCGTATGATGTGAAAGTACATTATCTGCTTTACTGCTTGAGCAATTACTTCAATTGTCTTCTTTTTTCTTTTTCTTTTTTCCATTGAAGTGTCCTATGTTTGACACAAGCTTGCTTCGTCAAGGTGTGATCTCTTCAGGGGAGCTCTTGATTCCCCCGAGGGGTTTGGTTTTAGTAACCCATGAACCTAGCTCGGTCAGCACTCTACCTGGTCCACATATTCGAGGAAACACTTTGAAAGCATTCTCAATTGGTAACAAGGAAGCCGATCTTCTTTTACCTGGTACTGGAAGGTAACTTGAATTCATTTTCACCATCTAGTGCTTTTGTTCTGTAACTTCATCAAATTGGTTCACATTACATTACTTGATTGTTAATTAGAAAATTTTTTCCCCATAACTTGGGTTTAATGAATAAGTAGTGTATTTAAAATCACGCCATTCCTCAGGTTAAGAGTGCAACTAGGCGTAAATATGCCGGCTCAAGCAAATCACAGAATTATGCAGGACGAGACAGACTCATCCGAAGTTGAACTTTTTGAAGTTTATGACGTCGTTCTCTACCTTGGCATAATAGATATATTGCAAGAATACAACCTGAAAAAGAAAATCGAGCATAAATATAAATCTTTGCAGTTCGATCCTTTGTCGATTTCTGCTGTGGAACCCAAGGTTTATTCGAAACGTTTCATTAGCTTCCTTGAGAAGGTTTTTCCCCTAGATCCTTAGAGAGAGTGTCTGTGCCTTTCTTCTGGTTGGTTTGCATGATTCTTTCAGAATTTATTTGTGACCGACCAATAATTATATGCTGTCGAACTCGTTGTACATAAGATATCCTCAAGTTGCATAGTTGTTGAATACTTGTAATGATATTCGAGTTGTTTGAATGATTGACTTCACGATTCTCAAGAGTACTCTTTTTTCGTCACTTGAAATTATGTACTAGCAATGTCTCTCTACGTTAGTTTTGTCCGAAATCATATAAATTTTTCACATAAGATTATACTTTAAAACGTGAATTCCGCTAAGCTTACAAAATATGTTTATAAGTTAAATGAATGAATTTTAGAATTTTTTTTTTTTTTAAATTGGTAATAAGACTCATTTGTGATAAATGAGCACTCAAATTTGAAGCTAGGAAGGAATCTTTCTTATCAAATAAATGCTCCAAACATGTCAGCAGGTTTCAGTGTGTGAATTAAATGCTGTCATATCTGCAACAAAACTGGCATTACAATTACATTCATCAATCATCAGTATATAAACGTCCACATTCGAAGAGAGTAAATAGATATAAATGCAACATAACCATTAAAGCTGCTCACAGTTTTATCGTGTTTAGCCCTGTTAATCGTGACCGTCGATGCTCCATAGGCCAAATGACAATGCATCGTGCATGTTTTCGATATGGTCTGTTATGGTAGAAAAGAAGTTAAATACGTAGTGTCTTGTGCGTAAGTAGCATCATTCTAATATTAGGTTTAGATAGCAATTGCAATTGGATGCATTGAAAGTGTAGAAATGGGATAACTTTTCTGCTTTTTCAATGCTATCAATTATCATGTGACAGTGGACCCCTTGATTCATTGTCTGAAGCATAGCACTAGAAAGAAAATCAGTATCCCATAAAAAATGTGACTCGTTTGTAAAATTGAAATTTCAAATGTTGGTGGCACCTTCGTAACCCCAAATCCTTGAATTCATTACTATTTCTCATGTGATACAGCAAAAATAGTGAAAAAATAACCAAAATTTCTCCAAAAGGATGGATCGAACTTTAAGATTTACCGTCTAACAAATTAGTATTAAAGATCGATTCAATATATCTAACAAATTAGGTGAGTCGCAGCTCCAATCTTCTGTTGGTCGTAACCCTCTTATTCATGTCGCTCCATCCACAACTAGGGTCATCTTCGATAATATTTCTTCCAACTATTGACCAATAGGAGAAAACAAGATCTTTAGCTCAGAAGAAAAGGTTGAATTCCTGTCATTCATATGTAGAAGAGAAAAAGAAAATGTTAAAATCAAGTTTTGTTTGCTCAACCCTCCCTCTTGGTTTATTTTTGGAATGAAAAAGAAAGAAATTTTTATGTATATCATTAAATTAGAAAAGTTAGCAAAGGTTGTTTAAAATTTGACTGTGTTCTTCCGTGTTTAATGGGCGTCATTTTATTTTATTTTTGTGCAGAGAGAGAGAGAGAGAGAGGGGCAGTAGGTTAAAAAAAGTGGTGAAAACAAGAGATGAAAGAGTCAACGAAGAATAGAATAGAGTAATAGGGTTTAGTAACCCTAGCCATCTGCCTGGAACTGTATATACACTGAATTTCATGTTTCAAAGTTAAAATCCAAAGCAAAATTACAACTCATTAAGGTCGATTTTAACTAATGATGACTACATTATTGGATAATCTACTGTTTGAGTGGCTCAGATCACCGCCGCCTGCAAAAAATATATATAACATATAGATAGAGAGAGAGAGTAGGAGTGGGAGTGGGAGTGGGAGTCTTCACTCTTGAAAGATGAAAATTCACCCATGAAAGACCACCATTAACCCTAATTACAGACAAACGCACAGAGGAGAGAGATCTAGAGAGAAAGAAAGAGAGCGGTGATGGAAAAATAGTGGATTTGAAACAGAAAAAGGAAATTGGAGAAGCAAATTAAATGGATTTGTGTATGATGAGTAAATGATTTGAGAGGAACGAAGCCTGGTCCGAAGCCTTCACGTCGTCAATGTAAACAGCAAACTGTGATTGCTTCGAGCCAGCCAACGTCCCCCTCAAACATTCTTCTTCTTCCTCTTCTCTCTGCTTCTCCAGTGGTGGATATATATATATATACTCTCACAGTCTCACTCACATATATCTATATATATCTCCATCCCCCACAAGAAAACTGCAGCCTGGGGGGAGGGGGGATTTGCTCACACTCTCTGATACTGAAAACCTAAGGCCGAAGGTGCTGATTTATAGGAGGGAGAATGGGGGGAATTGGGTGGTTAGGGGTAGAGTTACTTCAGTTTTTAGTCGATGACAACAAGAAATTCTGTAACGCGTACGCTTCTCGTGGCTCCTGCGAATAAATAAATAAATAAATAAGAAAAACTAAATTTGATTCACATATTATACCAAAATAACAAAAAAAAAGGATATCGCTATTTACATCTACAATTTTTATATATGCATCTACTTTTAAAAATATGATTATATTATATTTTTATCTTATACAAATTTATTTAAATAGACATATATAAAATTAAATGAAAATAATGTCGTTCTAACTCCATCCATTAATATTTATTTTTATAAATTCTTTTAAAACTTTTTATATTCCTTTAGAGTTTGTATTTAGATAAAATTCTAATAATAATAAAATACCATCTTCATCTAAAATCATAAAAAACCTAATCATAAAATATCATCTTCAACAAAAATTTAAAAAAAAATACACACATTATTAGATTTATAATTCTTTCATGATATGAAAAATAGAATATTATTTTTTATGCTTTTTTAAATATTGGTTTGATAGATGAAAATATACTAGAAATTTTAAAATAAATTTCAATATATACCTGTCTAAATATTCTTATAATACAAAACGAAACAAACTTAAAATTATCATCTGAAATACGAACAACCAAAATTATGAGCTTATAACCTAAAAAAGCAATATATATATATATATTATTTGTTTGGTTGCTTGAACAGTATACTCTTAATAGAATCTTATAAATTCAAGAAAAAAGATTTTCTAACTTTTATAACTAAATATTAAAGTACCGGCATGACAATATAGAAAATGAAAAGTAATTAGATTAAATGTTGATAATGATTTTAAAATTTTTTGAAATAGTATTAGGAACGTATTTATAATGGGATGAATATATAAAATTTGTATGACTCAATAACGTTTAAATGAATGAATTTAATAATGACAATATTTGAATTTGACGTGGGTCAAAATAGTGATTTTTTAAAATTTTAATAAAAAAAAGTTGACATTTCTGGACATTTTGCCGATTAATGAGGGAATCAAAATTGTGTCACGCGTCGTAGCATGAGTGGACAGTTTTAAAATGAAACACACTTTCCCGTCCATTTCAATTTGAAAATCAGTGGAGTGTCAACCATAATGAAACAAAAGAATGCACAAGTGGCTTATTCCAAAATCTAATCTATTCAATATATACTACTAAAATAAATGAACTCTATGTTCCTCAGAAAAAAAAAATTACAAATTTGTTGAAAATGGTTATTATCAAATGTTGATTGATTTATGAGCATATACATAGAATTGGTTGGGCATTGATTGATTTATTATATTTACTAGGAAAAAAAGTTAAGATACTTCCATTATACTACCGCGCATTTATCTAAAAAAATCATCTCTCGTGGCTCATCCCACTTTCATGAACCACAAAATAAAAGGTTAGAACAATTTTGCTTTCTTTCAATTATCATATAGATCTTTTTGATCCTTTATACGACAAATTTCTATTTATGGTACGAAACTAACACGTGAATTATTGTAAGTTTAGGGTTTGAAATTTTCAACGATTGAGGTCTACTATTTAGAATGCGTCAATTTTAATATTAAAGAATTAGTATGAAGTTGCTTTGTAAAAAAATATGTTAAACATTTGATTGAAAAAGTCAATGAAATTTGACGTGTGGATTATCCCGATATTAGGGTTTGAAATTTTGATCGATTGAGGTCTACTATTCAGAATGCGTTAGTTTCAACAATAAGTGCAAGTTGTGTATAAGATCGTTATAAACCTCTCATTAACAAAGTCACCTAGATCTAACACGAGCATTGTTATGATATATCTTAGAGTTTGGAATTTAGATTGATTGAAATTTATTACTCATGATGTGTTAATATCAGTAACAAAGACTAAGTATTCTTAACAAAGATATAACTTGTGGATTATTCTAGGTTTGAGATTTTTTATCATTCAATTCTACGATTTAAAATGAATTAATTTCAACAATAAAGATTAGGTACGGAATTGTTTAATTTGAAAATTATTTAAAATCTAACATACGGGTTAAAATTCAGAGCTTAGGTTTAAGATTCTGATTGATTGAGGTCTACTATTCAGAATGCATTAATTTCAACGATAAAGATTAATTTTGAAGTGGCTTTGTAAGATATTAATTCAAATTTCATATTAACAAAAGTCAATGAGATGTAACACGTGAACAAGCTCAATTGTGGTCCACTAATAGGAATGCATCAATTTCAATGAAAAAGATTATTTATGAAATTATTACAGTAGTAAGAAAAAGGACAATTGCTAAACCCAGCCTTCAGTGAAAAATAGGGTCCAATTTTGTCTCTAAAGAATTTTGAGTGAACCTAAATGATTTTTGCCAAAAATAGGTTTCATGTTCTCCTTAGGTTCTGGTATTGGAGACCCTATGGATTACACACTTCTTACAAGAATTTACTGGTATCTCTCCTATAGATTTACATTATAAATTACTATTTACTGCCCCCAAGAGAGAGATTACATCATGTCATTCACTTAGTCTTGGAATCACGGTTAATTTTCCGCGTTACTCTATGACCCAAAAAATCGAATAAGTAGCTCATGTCTTACTTGCGTCTTATTTTGTGTAGGACCGCCCTTCACATTTTTAATCAGACAATTGTGTTAGCCATGACTAAACCATTAGCTTATTTACCAAAAAACGCCAAGTGATTTACATTAGCCACATTGTTGAACCCATTTCACTCTCTCCTAAGAAATAGGGTCGGATCGATCCATGGGTGGACAGGGGTGAGCTCAAGCCCATCTAACCCCTCGAAAAAATTTGTAATTGGCCCATTTCATCAAGTTAGTTTGAGGGTCAATTTCAAATTAAAATTCTTGAATGTTAGGAAAAGTTCTTAATACCGTTTTGAATTACTTGTGATGTTATTCGAAACATACCTTTCAATTTATAAAAATACTAAACTAAAAAGTCATAGCGAGATAAAATGGTTGCTTGAAATTAGTTCAATAAATCTTATTCATCGCGATCAAAACTTTTGGCCTATTCTTATGCTATAGTTCTCAATCGTCATGGTTGGTTCTTGATATCTTTTTGAATAACTCGTGACGAACCATGCAACGCATATATTGAAGTGAAAAAACATTATACAATGAACTAGAATAGTTAATCAAAGATAGCTACTAAAATAGATATAATGATTATATTTTGATCGCACTCCAACATTAATTTCAGTAAAAATCTATTTGACTTCAACTGACACTCGTTTTAAAAAAAATTACAAACCCAAGATTGATTAATCCTTGTTTCGCCTCTACGAAAGGAACATGGATATTGAAGAATGTTCTTAGATGGTCAAGCCATATAATAGGTTTTCCATTCCTTCAGTTTTCCATGGCAAGAGTGCAAGTATTTCCATGGACTGTATTTTCTCAAAATCATTTATAGATTTAAAAAAATCTAAATAAAATAACAATATTAGTAGAAAAATATAAATCTTTTGAGCCAAAAGTTGGTGGTTAACTTTTTTGAAGGTTAATTATCTTTATATTCTAAACTCATTGTGTCAATAATAATAATAATAATAATAATTGAGGATCGCAAAGGGCAACTCTCCCCCATCCCCATCGTGTTAGAAATTTTCGATAAACGAGACGGCATGAAAGTATTATCATTTATCATCTGAATTACTCAATTAAGTATTTTTTTCAAAATAGAAAATAAAAGGTTTAATTTCGGATTCCGTTATTGTCCCGATTACCTGACACGTGCTGGATGAGCTAGAGATATTTTACCATTCCTATAAAATAAAATTACAAAATAGATGATTCACCAAATAAAATTTGAAATTCAAAGAAGAAAAATTGTATCCCAAAGTACTTATCGTAAGTATATAGGCCATATTTTGACATTCTAAAAGAAGAAAATTGTAGAATACATGTCAAAAGGGTTTCGCCCCGATACCCGTTATTGTCGGGTTGTCAGCGCCACCGGAGAGTAAGGAAAAAACCCAAACCCGAATAACGAAAAACAGGTCATTGCTTCCAACGCGCTTCTCCGATCGTGAATTCCAAGTGATTGATTTAAAATTAAAAATGTATAATTCACACTCCTTCAGGCGCGTCGAAGTTATTTAATAGTTTCACCAGCAGTAACGGCAGCGTGTCATTGCAGTGAAAAGTGGTCAAAGAAAACGCCGATTGGTCCTCACGCGCACAAAATGAACGGTGGAGATTAGTCTGAATAATCGGACGGCAGAGATGATGTTTAAGAGCGTAGTAGAATTAAATGCAGGTTTGGACATACACCAACTAGAGAGGAGATGGGGCCCAGTTTGAGGAGCCAAGACACATCGATAAATGTAAAAATAGTCAGCATTGGGTCCCACTCTTGCAATTATGTGTTAATGATATGAGTATCATTGTATGTATGTATATGTGTATATATAGGATGAGAGAGAGAGAGAGATAGGAAGAGAGAGTGACAGCTCAGTGCTTTACGTAAAAACTGCCCGTTTTTTCTGCAGAAAATGAAAAGGAATTGACCCCAGAAATCTGAATTGCTTCCTGCTGTTTGTTTCAAATTAGACTATCAAAAATTTTGCCATTTTCCTCTGTAGAAATGACAAAATTTTTGGTTCATGACAACCCGGCCCACGGGCACAGTTCAAACTTTGTTTCTGATTCTGGATTTAGAATTTAATTATTTTATTTTATGGGAGTCGCAGCTTTTTAACCACACATTTTATCATTTTTTTCTTATCGAAATTTACTAAAAAATTAATTTTAAATGCATACAAAGTTATACCTATAAATGTATGTGCGTACTTTAGAGTAAAGTTCGTGCGTTAGGTAAACTAATTGTTGGAGGTTTATGATGAAAAAGAAAAAAAAAAGGTTTCTTTTTTCTTGTTAATAGATACTTGACAAAGAGGAGAAATAAAGATGAGTGGATCTTTGTGGTTTCTTGAGACATGAGGACATTACAATTTACAATCATGTGATTGTCCATTCTATTAATTCATGCTGTTCTTCTTGTCTTTTTTCATGTGGTCTTCTTGTAATTTCATTGTCAATAATATATGCTTTTGTACGTTTTGATTGTCCAAACATGTGAAATCAATCTCAAGGGGACAATAATTTTTATTAATCCTTGGCCTCAAAGAAGAGTCAATAAAGATTGTTTTGGGATTGAAGTAATTATAAATCAAATTTGATCTTGAATTGACAAGAATTTGTAGTAATCCTTAGCCTTAAAGAAGAGTCAATAAAGATTGCTTTGGGATTAAAGTGATTATAAATCAAATTTGATCTTGAGTTGACAAGAATTTGCATTAATCCTTAGCCTCGAAGAAGAGTCAATAAATATTGTTCTGAGATTGAAGTAATTGTAAATCAAATTTGTTCAACTAGGGTTTTGCAGAAGTTCACTTTTTACCAACAAAATTTAATTTTCTTGACTATTAACCGCAGTCAAACATGCTCAAAGTCAACAAATATATAAAAAATCTATTTGACATAATTGTTGCTTTTGTTTTAGCTTTCAATAGAACAATTTTTTAAGTAATCGGCCTTCATTTTTATTTGAAAACTAACTTTTATAAGTACTTCCAAAATAAATTTATATTCTAGAATTAAATCATCTTCTTCTAAAAATTCTTATAACTAAAGAAACACTTTTATAAAATTAGTTAAATGAATCCAAAAGCAGCTTTTGAGTCTTAAAGGCTTGTTTTGACTTTTCAAAAACCATACTAAACGGGCCCAAAGTTTTCTTTTTGCCCTAAACGTAAAATTATGTAAACATACACATGAACTGAACAAACATAGTAGGATCTATAAAAGAAATTTCCCTTAATTATATCAACACACCCATTCCCCTCATTATCTTCTTGATACCCAATAAAGCAACAAAAAGTTACATTTGATATAGAACCTATAAACCAACCTCATGCCTACTATATAGACGAGCACATACCGAAGAGAACTACTAAGTACGTGGGCTCATAAAGATTGCCATATATTAGAGCTCTAGAAGACGAGAGCGAGTTGGATAAATAACAAATGATATGAGATCACCATTAACAAGTTTTTAAGCATAGAATTATTTCCAGAATATACAAAACAAGCACGCAGTAAGTGACAGAAGAAAAACAGAATAAAGAAGCGGTAAATAATCATTTGAAACCTAGGGCAAATGACACCTTAGGCCGGGATTTGTTCTTGCCTAATACTTTCATTTGTTTTGAGCGTTCTTCCTCCTCTTGTTGTTTTTTCCTTCGCATTGCCTCTTCTTTTTGTCTTTGCAGCTCCTCCAGTTCTCTATAGCGTTCCTCCTCCCTTCTTTGCTGTTCTAAAGCTTCTCTTCTTTGAGCTTCTTCCATTTTTCTTCTGTTCTCTTCAAGTAGCCTTTCCAGCTCTTCTTTCTCTCTCCGTGCTTGTTCCTGCACATTTCAGGAATCGAGTAATTTATACTATGAGCACAAGATTCATTGGAAGTAAACACAGCCTCCCAGCAAGATAATATTTCAAGCCCTTTGGGAAAAATTGAAAGTCCCAGTTATGAGATGCCCCTCAACACGGTCCTTTTTCTAGGCGTTCCAGGAATCACTATAACAATTTTCTTTTTAAATTTTAAATAAAGGAATGTAAGTTTCTTAAAACATAACTTTTAAATACAGGCCCATGCAGGCCTGAGCAAAAGGAAGAGGCAGGCTGGACCAGGGACTTGTATTCACATGCAGGGCTGCCTAGGCATTGAGTTGCCAACACATTTCGATACATCCATCCATACAAGTGCATCTTACATAGCGAAATGAGTGGCTCATAAAATTTTAACCAAATGGAGGCACTAAATTAGAGTATGGTAAGCAAGGGAGAAAATCCCTTCTCAAAGCATAGAGCTTCCTTTAGCCAAATATGGACTAGGGCTTCTAGCATGTAACAAGAAGCTATTGCTAGGCACACTTTTGGGGGAAAACAACTCCCTACTTTCTTCTAAGAAACCCATGTCGTTATTACTATCAAATGCCAACAAAAATTAAAAAAATAAGTTTGCCAAGAACAGTTTATGGAGAATGACCAAGAAAACAGTAGAAATTCGTAATAGATACTTGCCTCTCTCCGCCGAGCTTCGACATGAGCAGCTTCCTTTTCTTTTTCAATTTGGGCTGCAACTTCAGCAACAAGTTTCTTCCTACCTTCCTCTAGACGCTTATGTATTTCAAGCTCTATCTCCTCACAATTCAAGCTCTCCTCAACTTGCTTCTGAATTGCTGCTTCTACTCTCTTTGCAGTTTCTTCTTCTATTAATTTTAATTCTGCCTCCTGTTGACGCCTGGAAAAGAGTAAGAATGTTAAATAGGACATAGTTACTGATCCAATGAAGACGACGTAGATAAGGAGAACAGGAGTATAAAACCAGAACAAATTATGTACTGTTTTAAGTAGAATACAGAACAACATTAAGTAAGCAATGCTCAGTCATTATCATTTTTCCTTGGTGCATAACTCAAATGAATGACAAACTAACCTCCAAGGTCGAAAAGGCACTAAACATACATGCTTATGCTTTCAATGCATACCTCTAACGGAATCCTGATCCAAAAAATTCAGTTTTGAAACTGCTGAATAGTAGATTACAATGGGATCATCAATATAACAAGAGCAGAAACTTCCTTCACTTAATCCTGTTGAGAAGAATGTCAAGTGAACTGTTGCAGTTTCCACGTTAATAACTAAGAGTACTTCAGTCCTTTCGTTATAACAGATTTATAACCAAGCAAATGGCATATTGCTGTTAGAATAAAAGAACGTACTTTTAAACATATTGACTTATGCAGTGACAGGCTCCACAATCCTTGTATCCATTTTCGAGAATAGCATTAAAAATAGAATCCATGGTAGATGACAAGTTTCAAAAGCCTTGTGACCAAAGAAAATATAGAAGTTAAATGAAAAAAAGCCGCATGTACTTGGATGGAGTTGGCTATATGGATATCATTCTTCCACTCAGCTCCTTTAGAAGGTTATTTCCAAACTTAAACCAGAGTAGCTGAAATGTTATTTCGTTGACTCAAGTCCATGGGGTTTAATGTGAGCCTTTTCTCTAGGATTAACATTAAAATTCTATCAATTTTACATTATACAAATAAGTCATGATAAAAAAGTAAAACCTGAATCGTAACATTTTTCTTTAGAAAACTAAGTTGAATAAACCACAGCGTGAATTTCGGGATATATAAAAAGCTGTTTAAAAAATGAAAAAGAAATTAGAGAGGCAAGGCAACAGGGCATGCGGTTTGGGATTACAGAGTTTGCAACAAAATGACAGAGAAACAGCTATTTCCTAGAAATTCGTCGTGTTAGGTGAAAAGAATAGTAGAAAAGTATTATTAATTGTAAGCTAAATGTAAACATGACACAAACTGAATAAATATTCTTTGAGAAAGATTTCCATTCACTATACAGTCAATCTGGTTGATTACGAAGGATCATTAACGCTAAGGGATACCATCCCCAAGTGAGATGTCAATCCCAATTGTTTAAGATTGGAACTTTTTTTTTGCTTACAGTTTCAATAAATATTGAGGCAGCTTTGGTCAATGGTACGACCAATTTTATTAATTTTCTTCACAAAACCACAAAACAAGAATCCACTAGGAAATCAGCCAGGCCAAAGAGATCAACAAAGACCTGTCTTAAACCTCAAGAAATGACATCTTCAACGTGCTTCAACTATATATTCAGGGGTTTTTTTTATCAAAAAATGTATTTTGAAATAGTATTATAATGGAGAATGTGGTTAAAAAATAAGAAAAACTTTAGAGTTTGCGTATAATATTATTTTATTGAAAAATGTGT